ATCAAGACATCCCAAACAGAAGGCAACGCAAACAGAGAGTCCAAAAGAAAGAGAGAAAAGGTAAGAGTCCCAAACCGAGTACGCAATCTAAAAAAAGAAAACCAGAAAAGCCAGAGGTTGGGGTGGGGGGGACAAGACCAAAGAAACAAGCCAAAAGGAAGGGAGGGAGGGACGGAAGGAGGGGAAGGAAGAAAGGTTATTATTATCACTCACTCTCCAGCTCTGTGTGTTTAGTGCGAGTATGGCAGCTGCAGATATGTAGGTACAAGCAAGCAGGAACAGGGGGTTTTTGGAGGGGTTTCTCAATGTTCAGGTGTTTTGTTTTGTTTTGTTTCGGTTTAGTAACAATGTTTTATACAAGTTCAACGAAGCGCTGTGAGCCAAGCTGGTTCTTCCTTTCTTTCTCTCTCTCTCTCTTCCTCCTTCTCCGTCCGTCGCCGATCATGGTCCCCACCATCGTCCCACTGTCTGTCCGTCCATTCCTTCCTAGGCGCGAGAGAAATTCCATAGACATATTGGTTGGGTGGGTTCCGCTGTCACTCAGTTGAGGTTGGGTTCCGATTTGCCACATCTTCCTCCTCCTCCTCCTCCCCCCCTGCTGCCCTGCCGCCATGCCCCACCCTCCCCGCTCAGATGAAATACTCCTTCTTGTCGTCCCCGCCAGTCTGACCGCCCTCGGCATTGATGATGGCCGTGTCCGCGTCTGGGGCATCGTCGGAGCCTTTGGCCTCATGGGTCAGGTAGGTACCTGTGTAGAGAGGATGACACATGAGAGGCTAATTGGCTTGGCACAGGGGTGTCAAACTTGCCCCTACCCTAGAAACCTTTAAAAAGGACCTCAAAACCTGGCTCTTCCGCTGCACATTTGATGAGTAGATCTACATCCTCATACTAGTGTTTAGTTTAACGGTTTTTGTTACTAGAGTTGTACAGGAGTTGATTATAAATTTTATGATTTTAACTGTATTTGTGTTTAAATTGGCTGCAGTAATGCTGGAGTGGCTTAAGTCAGAGGAGTCCTCCATGTGCGTTGCCATGGAGACCGATGCAGGAGAGAGGGAAGTGGGAGGAGCTTAGAGGGGAGAGTTTGAAAAAACGAGAGTTAAAAAATCAGTTAGGGCTTAGGTTTAGAGGAGTGAGCAGTCAGGAGTTAGGTTCAGAGGAGTGAGGAGTTAGGAGTTGGGAGAGAAGGAAAGGAAAGGTGGCGGAGTGACTTGTGAAGTAAAACTTTGAGGCTTGAAAAGCTGGGTTTGGCTATTGGAAGTTTCTCAGGCTAGTGCAGCCGAATGGTGAAACATAGCTGGTATTCTTTTAGTCTAAGGAGAGGCTAAAGAATAGTTTACTTAGTATTTGATCTAGGGAGGATGAACTAAGGAAAACATCCCTGTATGGAAACTTTGTCTGAAACAAGTGCTCTATGTCAGAAAGATACTTTGTTCTTGAAAGAATGAACTGTTAAAGTTACAAGTATTATTCCAAGTGCAACAAGGAAAAGTTACGTCTTGCAACCACACGCTGTGTACTTAAATAAAATTGTTAATTTTTATTTGAAGATTGCCTCAGTTCCGTCTATTCTGTGTCCAAAGTGCCATTTCTCACCATATTATAACTTACCTCACGTGGTGGCAGAAACCCAGGGAAAAGTAACCAAATAAATCTACATTCTTCTCTCCAGTCACGCTACAGTATATACCAGGGGTAGGGAACCTTTGGCCCTCCAGCTGTGGTGGACTTCAACTCCCACAATTCCTTGAGGCTCGGCATTGGGCCAAGGTAAGCCTTTGGGGCGAATGCCAAGCCTCAAGGAATTGTGGGAGTTGAAGTCCACCACAGCTGGAGGGCCAAAGGTTCCCTACCCCTGGTATATACAGTGTAATTACTACTAAGTTATTACTTTCTTAATAAAGGAGGAGGTGCGATTGAACAGCCTCCCTTCTAACTTGACGGTAAATTTGGTTCCTAATCGGCAACCTCCATTGCAAATCGGCTAGTTCTTTTTAAAAACAGGAACTGGGGTAAAATCTCCTGAATACTGGTTCCTTTCAAATTGGTGGCAACAATAAATCATCCCTCGGCTCCCCTGCTTCTTCTCAGGAGTGCATTCCCCCCATAGAAAAGTTTTGCTCCACGACCTCCACTAAAACGAGCTCTCCTCCGCAAATAATCTGTCCTTGTTTATCTCGTGTTTATCTCGCCTGAGTTTTTAATCTGTTTCTACCCTATTTTCTTTTATCCATTACATGTATCTCGCTCATGTTACCGTGATTGTGTTTATTGTAATTTTATATTGCTATGTTGTCTTTTGTTTTATGTAATTGTGTTATTATTGTTTATTATTTGCGTTTTCGGTTTTGTTTTATTTCATGTAATTGTTGTTTTGGGCTTGGCCTCATGTAAGCCGCACCGAGTCCCCATTAGGGAGATGGAGCGGGGTACAAAGTTTATTATTATTATTAATATTATTATTATTGTTACAGCATGCACGAAATCAGTTAGTGTGTAACTGTAATATAAGATGTATGAAGCTGTTTGGTTGGGTATGCTCAAAGTGATGGCCGAGCCTGGGACTTTTGGATACTGTTACATTTATCAGTCTTTTTATTCTGAAAGCTATCAAGAAAAGAGCACATTTCCTAAAATAAGAATCAGGAAAATAAGATTCTGACTGTAAATAGAAGGTCAGCTGCTGTCCTCTCCTTTTTGCCTTGTCTTTTACTTGTGTTGTATTTTGAAATGGTCATATAACCAGTCAAATTATTATTATTATTATTTTCTCCGGATCTTCTATTATGCAGATAATATTGTCCACATATGCTCTAAGTTTATGAAATCATAGAATCATAGAGTTGGAAGACACCTCATGGGCCATTCAGTCCAACCCCCTGCCAAGAAGCAGGAATATTGCATTCAAATCACTGACAGATGGCCATCCAGCCTCTGTTTAAAAGCTTCCAAAGAAGGAGCCTCCACCACACTCCGGGGCAGAGAGTTCCACTGCTGAACGGCTCTCACAGTCAGGAAGTTCTTCCTCATGTTCAGATGCAATCTCCTCTCTTGTAGTTTGAAGCCATTCCATCTGAACATGAGGAAGAACTTCCTGACTGTGAGAGCCATTCAGCAGTGGAACTCTCTGCCCGGACCGTGGTGGAGGCTCCTTGGAGGGTTTGGCAAATGTGTGGTTGCCTCTGGGGCCAGTCCAGACCCCAGGAGGTCTTTAGATGGTGTGTTCTTGCATGACAGGGGGTTAGACTGGATGGCACTTCGGGTTTCTCCCAACTCTATGATTCTCTGATTCTATTTCTGCCCTGGAATCTATTTCTGTGCAGATTTGGTAGCCTGCACAGATTTGCCCGGAGACAAAAATGGTCCAAAAAGAAAGTCATATGCTCAACTTGTAATGACACAATACACAGCAGTAAGGGAAATAGATAGAGCCCCCCCCCAAAAACCCCCCCAAAACAAACAAACAAAAACCTATATAAAAAACTGTGCCCATTTGCATCGAATCTACCTTTGTGCCGGATCAGGTAATGTCCCAGAATGATGAGCAGGATCAGGAGAAGGAAAACAATGACGGCGACAATTCCCCCAATGACAGCATGGTAGGTACTTCCGGCGTGCGCCACTGGACTTGCATCTGTTTCATGGGAAAGAGAATGCAAAGGGTTGTTAAACAAGCAGAAAAAGCACACAGTTCTCTTTTTGTGGGTTTCCTTTTTTTCCTCACTTGCCAAGTGGAGTAAAAGAACCAAGAAGAAAAGCAAAAAGCCAAGAGTCTATGGAAGGGATGTTGAGATTTATCTCCAGTTGAGTAGGGTAGAATGCTTGTATTTTTATTAGAGTTCAACAGGGAAAACAGGAGCTGTCTTCATAGACCTGTCCGCAGCTTTTGATACTGTGAACCACCACCTCCTCCTGAGAAAAATGTATAATATCACAAAGGATGACCACCTCACCCGCCTCATAGGAAACCTGCTACAAAACAGGAGCTTTTTGTTGAGTTCCAGAGGGCGGAAACAGAAGAATGGCCTGCCTCAGGGGAGCGTGCTTGCTCCATCCATGTTCAACATCTACACAAATGACCAGACACTGCCAGAAGGGACAGAGAGCTTCATCTATGCTGATGATCGTGCCATCACCGCTCAAGCAGGGAGCTTTGAGATGGTTGAACAGAAGCTCTCCGAAGCTCTAGGTGCTCTTACTGCCTATTACAAGGAAAACCAGCTGATCCCTAATCCATCTAAAACACAGACATGTGCTTTTCATCTCAAGAACAGACAAGCATCCCGAGCTCTGAGGATGACCTGGGAAGGAATCCCACTGGAGCATTGCAGCGCACCCAAATACCTGGGAGTCACTCTGGACCGTGCTCTGATCTACAAGAAGCACTGCCTGAACATCAAGCAAAAAGTGGGTGCTAGAAACAATATCATACGAAAGCTTACTGGCACAACCTGGGGATCACAACCAGATACAGTGAAGACATCTGCCCTTGCACTGTGCTACTCTGTTGTTGAGTATGCATGCCCAGTGTGGAACACATCTCATGACACTAAAACAGTAGATGTGGCTCTTAATGAGACATACCACATTATCACGGGTTGTCTGCGCCCTACAACACTGGAGAAATTACACTGCTTAGCCGGTATTGCACCACCTGACATCCTCCGGGAAGTAGCAGCCAATAGTGAAAGGACCAAGGCAGTGACATCTCCAGCTCATGCCTTGTTTGGGTATCAGCCAGCACATCAACGACTTAAATCAAGAAATAGTTTTCTAAGATCTACAGAGATACTTGCAGGAACACCTCAGCAAGCAAGAGTCCAAAAGGGGCAGGCTAAAACCCGGAACCTCAATCAGTGGCTGATTCTGGATGAGAAGCTCCCTCCTGGGCACACAAAAGACTGGGCGATTTGGAAGGCGCTGAACAGACTGCGCTCTGGCACCACAAGATGCAGAGCCAACCTTCAGAAATGGGGCTACAAAGTCGAATCCATGACATGCGAGTGCGGAGAAGAGCAAACCACTGACCACTGACTACAATGCAGCCTGAGCCCTGCCACATGCACAATGGAGGACCTTCTCACAGTGACACCAGAGGCCATTTCCTAATCAAAGACCATTTAGTACAACGCCAAGTTCTTAAACTTTGTGTTTTAAAATATATTATAACTGTATCCTCAATTCGCTTCTGACACAATCTTATATAAATAAAAATGTAATGTTCGTTTGTGGGATTAACATAACTCAAAAACCACGGGACAAACTGACACCAAATTTGGACACTACACCTCTAACAGACCAACGAGTAACCATCACTCATAACCACCCCCTAAAAAAAAAAAACAGTGGAAAGCACTTAAAAACCCTAGAAAGCTAAATGATGAAAAGCTAAATGACAATAGAGAAAAAAGGGGAGGGAAGGAAGGGGAGAAAGGAAGAAAGCAAAAGAAATGGAGGAGAGCAAGGTGGGGGGGGGGAGAGAAAGAAGGAAGCATGGAAGCAAAGAGCGAAGGAAGGAAGGAAAGAAGTAGAGAAGAAAGGAGAGAAAGAGAAAGGAAGCAAAGAGCGAAGTAAGGAAGGAAAGAGGTAGAAAAGGAAGGAAAGAGAGAAGGACAGAAAAAAGGAAAGGAAGGAAAGAAGGAGTGAAGGAAGGAAAGAAGCAGAAAAGGGGAGGAAGGAAAGAGAGAAGGAAGGAAACAAAAAGCAAAGGAAGAAGGAAGAAAGGAGAGAAAGAGGGAAGGAAAAGAAAAAGGAGGAAGGAAAGAAAGAGGTAGAGAATATTCCAGATGTGGTCTAATCAAAACAGAATCTAGGGAAGTAATGCACCACAATTCAAGAGAGATATTGACAAGCTGGATGTGTCCAGAGGAGAGCGACTAAAATGATAAAAGGTCTGGAGAACAAGCCCTATGAGGAGCGGCTTAAGGAGCTGGGCATGTTTAGCCTGAAGAAGAGAAGGCGGAGAGGGGATATGATAGCCATGTATAAATATGTGAGAGGAAGCCACAGGGAGGAGGGAGCAAGCTTGTTTTCTGCTTCCATGGAGACTAGGACGCGGAACAATGGCTTCAAACTACAAGAGAGGAGATTCCATCTGAACATGAGGAAGAACTTCCTGACTGTGAGAGCCGTTCAGCAGTGGAACTCTCTGCCCCGGAAGTGTGGTGGAGGCTCCTTCTTTGGAAGCTTTTAAGCAGAGGCTGGATGGCCATCTGTCAGGGGTGATTGAATGCAATATTCCTGCTTCTTGGCAGAATGGGGTTGGACTGGATGGCCCATGAGGTCTCTTCCAACTCTTTGATTCTTTGATTCTATGATTCTATGATACTCAACATTGGTCAGATTGATGCTAATGCTATATGATCTGAATTTAACCATCCTTAATACATTTCATACTAAGTTCTATGCAAAATGAATGTTAGAAGCAGAAATTTCATGAAAAAGCCAAAGGCCACAAACTTTCAGAAGAAGAAAGGAGAGAAAGAGGAAGGAAAAGAAAAGGGGAAGGGAAGAAAGAGGTAGAGAAGGAAGGAAAGAGAGAAGGAAAGAAAAAAGGAAAGGAAGGAAGAGGGAGAAAGAAAGGAAGAAAACAGAAAAAGAGAGGAAGGAAAGAAGGAAGGAGAGAAGGAAGGAAGCAAAAAGCAAAGGAAGGAAAGAGGTACAGAAGGAAGGAGAGAAAGAGGAAGAAAAATAAAAAGGGGGAAGGAAAGAAAGAGGTAGAGAAGGAAGGAAGGAGAGAAGGAAAGAAATAAGGAAAGGAAGGAAAGAGGGAGCGAAGGAAGGAGGGAAAGAAGGAGAGAAAGAGGGAGGGAGGGAAGGTTGGCCACAGCAATGCGTGGCGGGTACAGCTAGTAAATAAATAAAAATAAAACAAATCAAATATCAACCCAAAGCTTTTTGCTTGGTTGGTTATTTTAATTTTAAATGTCCTAATGTAATTTCTCTGTAGTACCTTTTTTTGCGTGGTCGTAATGATGTTGTTTCGACTGTTTTTATCGTGTCGCGTATAATTTTAATCCTCCCGACTGCTCTAATATCTTCAAGGACAAAAGGCAGTTTAAAAACAATTAAACCAGCGAGTACAAATTTAATGCCATCAACAGACATTATCGTCTCCAAAGCTTTTCGATCCACTGCACAGGCCCAGCGACCGGTCTCCGAATGTACTGAAACGATGCACACATACGAACAAACCTGCGTGATTGCGCTCCCAAGTTTTGCCTAAAGGCAATTTCAAGGTGAATTTGAGAACTCCTGTTTGGACGGAAATGTCTGTAGCAATGTTAAGATGTTAAACAAGCAACAAGAGTATAATGGCGGTTTCATGCTTCTCTGATCCCGGAAATCACTCAAAATGCTCAAGCGAGGAAATACAGTCAAAACACTAAAAAAATTAATGTTTCTTGACGTATACGAGGGTTGAATGAAAAATAATGCCTCCACCTTTGTTGCTCCTCAATAGATGACAGTACTGGTATGCGGCAGGTACTGGCTTGTTCAGTAGACTCTCCTCTACAGTGACATTTTGGCAGGAAGCCTTAGCATTGAACAGTTGTGTTGTTAAAGTGGAAAGTAATGCCTCAACCTACGTAACTCCTCAACAGATGCCAGTACAGGTATGCGGCAGGTACTGGCTTGTTCTGTAGACTCTCCTCTACAGTGACATTTTGGCAGGAAGCCTCAGCATTGAACAGTTGTGTTGTTAAAGTGGAAAGTAATGCCTCAACCTACGTAACTCCTCAACAGATGCCAGTACAGGTATGCGGCAGGTACTGGCTTGTTCTGTAGACTCTCCTCTACAGTGCCATTTTGGCAGGAAGCCTTAGCATTGAACAGTTGTGTTGTTAAAGTGGAAAGTAATGCCCTCACCTTCGTAACTCCTCAACAGATGGCAGTACTGGTATGCGGCAGGTACTGGCTTGTTCTGTAGACTCTCCTCTACAGTTCCATTTTGGCAGGAAGCCTTAGCATTGAACGGTTGTGTTGTTAAAGTGAAAAGTAATGCCTCCACCTTCGTAACTCCTCAACAGATGGCAGTACTGGTATGCAGCAGGTACTGGCTTGTTCAGTAGACTCTCCTCTACAGTTCCATTTTGGCAGCCTTAGCATTGAACAGTTGTGTTGTTAAAGTGAAAAGTAATGCCTCCACCTTCGTAACTCCTCAACAGATGGCAGTACTGGTATGGGGCAGGTACTGGCTTGTTCAGTAGACTCTCCTCTACAGTTCCATTTTGGCAGGAAGCCTTAGCATTGAACAGTTGTGTTGTTAGTGCAAAGTGGGAAGGCAGCTTCGTAAATCCTCAACAGATGGCAGTACTGGTATGCGCAGGTACTGGCTTGTTCAGTAGACTCTCCTCTACAGTTCCATTTTGACAGGAAGTCTTAGCACTGAACAGTTGTGTTGTTAAAATGAAAAGTAATGCCTCCACCTTCGTAACTCCTCAACAGATGGCAGTACTGGTATGTGGCAGGTACTGGCTTGTTCTGTAGACTCTCTTCTACAATTCCATTTTGACAGGAAGTCTTAGCATTGAACAGTTGTGTTGTTAAAGTGAAAAGTAATGCCTCCACCTTCGTAACTCCTCAACAGATGGCAGTACTGGTATGCAGCAGGTACTGGCTTGTTCAGTAGACTCTCTTCTACAATTCCATTTTGGCAGGAAGTCTTAGCACTGAACAGTTGTGTTGTTAAAGTGCGAAGTATGGAACCCAGCGTAGATGGTAGGTCAATGCTTGTCCGAACGCATCCACCCCTACGTCCCACTTCGTAATCTACGATCATCCGGGGAGGCCCTGCTCTCACTCCCGTTAAAAGCACAGATGCATCTGGCGGGGACAAGTGACAGGACCTTCTCGGTTGTGGCCTCCTGCCTATGAAACACACTCCCAAATGAGGTAAGATCCACTCCCTCCCTCCTGGCTTTTAGAAAAAAAAAATTAAAATCGTGGTTTTGGGACCAGGCCTTCAGGCAGTAGAAGTAAATGTATGCAGCATTTCAGAAAGACAATGACTGGAACGGCGATTTGACGGATGAGACTGTTTTAATGATTGTTTTATTGCTTGTGGATGTACTGTTTTTAACTTGATTTATTTCTAATTGTAGTGTATAATTGTTATTGTTTGTACTGGCATTGAATTTTGCCATTACTTATGTGCAAACCGCTTTGAGTCCCCCTCGGGGTGAGAAAAGTGGTATACAAATACTGTAAATAAATAAATAAATAAATGTTGCCTGATGGTCAGTACAGAAATCCAATAGGCAACATCAGCAGATAATGGAGAGGCTCAATTCTCCTTGCAAAAGCAAGATTAGGATTGGATTGTGGCACAGAATATGACTTAAGCAATGAATGCGACTTAAGCAATATTCAGTCATTGAATTCTTGACAGCAGAAGGTGTCACCTCAATATCTTTAAACTCACTCGCCCAACGACGCACAGTACTCACATCAACACAATAACCATAAACAGCTTGCATTCTTCGATGAATCTCCTTTTGGGTGACACATTGCTGAAGTCGCATTGACCGACTGTCTGTGCAGCGTTCCATACTTCGCACTTTAACAAGACAACTGTTCAATGCTAAGGCTTCCTGCCAGAATGGAACTGTAGAGGAGAGGCTACTGAACAAGCCAGTACCTGCTTCATACTAGTATTGCTATCTGTTGAGGAGTTACGAAGCTGGAGGCATTACTTTTCATTCAACCCTTGGAAGCATTAGCTAGCTACATCAAGACATGGAAATGAACAAAATCTGGCTACCAGTATTAAAAAAAAAACTCTTAAGATTACAACAGCAAAACAACAGACAGGAAACAATCAGGAACAGCTAATTACCTCTCAACAAAAGATTGCCACAGGCACTAACAAGCCACACCAAACAAGTGCCAGGCCATCAAATGTTAATCAAGGTGGTCAGTTGAAACATTCACACCTAGCTCCAACAGACAAGAGTTCTTTGTCCCACCCTGGTCATTCCACAGATATATAAACCCATTTTTCTAGTTCCAACAGACCTCACTATCTCTGAGGATGCTTGCCATAGATGCAGGCAAAACGTCAGGAGAGAATGCCTCTAGAATATGGCCATATAGCCCGAAAGAACCTACAACAACCCAAATAATATTTTTTTATCAATTATTTTTTTATAGTATTTATATTCCGCCCTTCTCACTCAGGGCAGATCGCAATGCACATATACATGGCAAACGTTCAATGCCACAACATAAAGACAGACATACAGAGGCTATTTAACTTTCCAGCTTCATGAGGGTATGCTTTTTTAATTCCGGCCATCGGGGGAGCTGTTGCTTCACCATCCACTTGTGACACCGTTGGAGTACTTCCTCATTCTTTTGCACGCTCCTGGAGAGTTTTATGGCATTGTAAATTAGTTAAATTAGCCTCCCCGCATAAGCGGTACCTAAATTTCCTACTTGACAGATGCTACTGTCTATCGGCCTGCAAAGGTTGACAGCAAGGTAAACAAATGGTTGGGAGATTACTCCGACCTGGGCTGGCGTTGAACTCATGATGCCGAGAAGCAATCGGGAAAGAGAATTAATAATATTCATCATAGAGGACCAAGAGCCTCACTGTGCCTGGCATGGAGATTTTAATGTGGCTGACTCCCAACCAGGTGCCACCTCCCAACCAGGGGCCACAAGTGTGAATGTTGTAATTGGCCAGCTTTATTGGCATTTGATTGCCTTGTAGCTTTAAAGCCTGGCTGGTTGCTGCCTGGAGGAATCAATCAAAAATGTGGCTTCCAACAGACCTCTCAACCTCAGAGGATGCCTGCCATAGATGTGGGTGAAATGTCAGGAGAGAATGCTTCTGGAACATGGCCATACTGTCAGGATTAATTTGGTTATGTATGTGTTTTTCAATATGTTTCTATGTATTGCCAAGATGGATGCCACTGTGAATTGAAAATGCCATGCTGAAATGTTGTGAGTCAGCATTCTGACACCATACCTACTACTAGTAGTAGGAGAAGAAGAAGGAGTGATGCAGAAACAGAGGCTGTGATTAGGTGAACTTGAAAAAGTAAGATAAGGTTTGTTCTTGCTGAGAACAGAAGGGAGTTGCCAGTCTCAGCAAGAGAAGACAAGCAGATGTGAAGAGGCTTTCGGTTTTGACTAGTTCTTTGTTCTTCCTGAATTGTAGCTCGCTGTAGAAAGACCTGTCTGTTGTACGGACTTAGTAAACTTAGTTTCTTTTGTAACTCAAAGACTGCAGAGTCCTTATTTTGCAACTCAGTGTCTGCTTGATCTAGCATTCCTTCCTTTGGGGATTGCCAATCTCTGACACATACAGCCTGGAAAACTCACAGCAACCCAGTGATTCCGGCCATGAATGCCTTCAACATTGAAGGTAATCATCCCTGTATGTATCCACTATCAACATAAGCACAACTCTAGCAGAATAGCAGATTCATGCAACAAAGTCCTAGTGTAGAGATGATGGAGGAACCTACTTCTATCCAATGCTTACCGTTGACGTCCAGCTTATAGCGTGTGGTGAACATGCCCATCATGCTGGATGCATGGCAGATGTAAGTCCCACTGTCACTTTTGTTCAAATTGGGGAAGATGAGGATATTCTCTTGGGCTTCGGGAAGGGGTCCATCGGTTCCCTCCTTTTCCCACTTGTATTGATGAGGGCTGTCAAGGAAGGAAAAGGCTGAGAATTAGTAATATCAGATTACAACAAAGCAAACAGATATGCTGTGTTCGGGGGAGATCTTCATGTATTGACGAAGGCATTCATGGCCGGAATCACTGGGTTGTTGTAGGTTTTTTGGGCTGTATGGCCATGTTCTAGAAGCATTCTCTCCTAACATTTTGCCTGTATCTATGGCCATACAGCTCGAAAAACCTACAGCAACCCAGAGAGCTTCATGAATTAACTATGTCATGAGTCTCAATTTTTTTCTAACAGAATTGGTATTGCCCAACTGTAGTAGTAGTAGTGTGACGGCGCGAGTGGCGCCACCTATGCGTAGAACTGTTAGTTGCAAGATTTAAACCAGGGATCCTCAAACTAAGGCCCGCGGGCCGGATATGGCCCTCCAAGGTCATTTACCCGGCCCTCGCTCAGGGTCAACCTAAGTCTGAAATGACTTGAAAGTACACAACAACAACAACAACAACAACAACAACAACAACAATCCTATCTCATCAGCCAAAAGCAGGCCCACACTTCCCAGTGAAATACTAATAAGTTGTTCTTCATTTTAATTATTGTATTGTTTTTAAATGTTTTGCACTACAATAACATATATGCAGTGTGCATAGGAATTAATGCATGTTTTTTTCCAAATTATAATCCAGCCCTCCAACAGTTTGAGGGACTGCGACCTGGCCCTCTCTTTAAAAAGGTTGAGGACCCCTGATTTAAACTGTTGTATCATGCTTAAGCCTGCCTTTTTACCCTGCTTATGTATAGTTGGATTGAATGGTTATTTATAGCTGTCAATCAATGTTGTTTGCACCAGTTGAATTGCTTTCTCAGCTCAACTGTTTGGCCCCACCTCTTCCTGGAGGAGGGGAGTGCTTCCCTTTTTCATTCTGCCATCAGAGTTTCTATCAGATGGACGTGAGTAAGAGACTTGACTCTAAAAGACCCTGATTAAATTACCTCTCAGCACCAATTCTGAGGTTTTTTACCCTTGAGACTTATGCTTCATGTTCAGACCAACCTGAACGACGTTGGAAGTATCATATCAGTGGCTTATGATACTGTGAACCACAGCCTCCTCCTGAGAAAAATGTATAATATCACAAAGGACGACCACCTCACCCGCCTCATAGGAAACCTGCTACAAAACATCTCAAGAACAGACAAGCATCCCGAGCTCTGAGGATCACCTGGGAAGGAATCCCACTGGAGCATTGCAGTGCACCCAGATACCTGGGAGTCACTCTGGACCGTGCTCTGACCTACAAGAAGCACTGCCTGAACATCAAGCAAAAAGTGGGTGCTAGAAACAATATCATATCATGTTTTCTGGGAGAATCATTTTTGCACATGCACTGTAGCGTCTTTTTGCTTTTTTGGCTTTAGAAGTTCCTTCTGCTGTGTTTTTCTGTGTTTTTATGAGTGATTGTCACTCATTGGCCTGATAGGTGTATTGTGTCCAAATTTGTCTAATGGTTTTTGTGTTATGTTAATCCCACAAACTAACATTACATTTTTATTTATATAGATTCTGTGTGGGAGGAGGTCCATGAAAGTGACACCCCGAGTTACCACACTGGGTGACATGAAACTTAGGGACACAATTGGATTTGGTCAAAGGAGAGGAAGGACTTACATCGGGTTTCCTTGTCCATCACAACGAAGCTCCAGGTTCTGCCCTTCTCGTGGATGCTCAGGTTTTGGTTCAATTCTAGCTGTTGGCATATCTGGAGAAATGGAGAAAGGAGAGGAGAGGAGAAAAACCTAAGATAATGGACCATCTCAATGAATATTTGTGGGGTTCGCCATCAATGAGATTCCAACTACCATCATACCATTACAGCCAAAAAGCTATAGACCAATCTCCCTGTTGTGCCACCTTTACAAAGTTCTGGAGAGACTTATTTTGCATAGAATATAAATGTCGTAAATAAATAAATAGGTCAACAGCAAGCTAGACTATTAATGGTCGGGAGCTCACTCCAACCCAGGTTGGTTTCACACTCATGATCTCTTAGTCAGTAGTGATTAATGCAACTGGCTACTAACTAGCCGCGCCACAGCCCGGTCTTTAGAGAAATTTTGGAGAGAAACAACCAAATAGGGCAGAAGTCATTTTGGTCAACTGCACTGCATCCTGTCAGATCCCCAAAATCTGGAGGAAAGCAAGAGTCATCGCCATCATGAAGCCAGGCAAAGACTGTAATGACCCAAAAAGCTATGGACCAATCTCCCTGCTGTGCCACCTCTACAAAGTTCTGGAGAGACTTATTTTGCATAGAATTACGGAAAAAATAGACCCATGTCTGATCCCACAACAAGCTGGCTTCAGGAAAGGCCAAAGCTACACATCGCAAGTGCTGAACCTGACTCAGCACATAGAAGATGGCTTTGAAAGGCAGCAGATCACAGGAGCTGTCTTCATAGACCAGTCAGCAGCTTATGATACTGTAAACCACCACCTCCTCCTGAGAAAAATGTATAATATCACAAAGGACGACCACCTCACCCATCTCATAGGAAACCTGCTACAAAACAGGAGCTTTTTTGTTGAGTTCCAGGGCCAGAGAAGTAGATGGCGGAAACAGAAGAACGGCCTGCCTCAGGGGAGCGTTCTTGCTCCATCCATGTTCAACATTTACACACATGACCAGCCACTGCCAGAAGGGACAGAGAGCTTCATCTATGCTGACGATCGTGCCATCACCGCTCAAGCAGGGAGCTTTGAGATGGTTGAACAGAAGCTCTCCGAAGCTCTAGGTGCTCTTACTGCCTATGACAGGGAAAACCAGCTGATCCCTAATCCATCTAAAACACAGACATGTGCTTTTCACCTTAAGAACAGACAAGCATCCCGAGCTCTGAGGATTACCTGGGAAGGATTCCCACTGGAGCATTGCAGTGCACCCAAATACCTGGGAGTCACTCTGGACTGTGCCCTGACCTACAAGAAGCACTGTCTGAATATCAAGCAAAAAGTGGGCGCTAGAAAGAATATCATACGAAAGCTGACTGGCACAACCTGGGGATCACAACCAGACACAGTGAAGACATCTGCCCTTGTGCTATGCTACTCTGCTGCTGAGTATGCATGCCCAGTGTGGAACACATCTCACCACGCTGAAACAGTAGATGTGGCTCTTAATGAGACATGCCGCATTATCACGGGGTGTCTGCACCCTACACCACTGGAGAAATTACACTGCTTAGCTGGTATTGCACCACCTGACATCCGCCAGGAAGTAGCAGCCAATAGTGAAAGGACCAAGGCAGTGACATCTCCAGCTCATCCCCTGTTTGGGTATCAGCCAGCACGTCAATGACTTAAATCAAGAAATAGTTTTCTAAGATCTACAGAGACATTCGCTGGAACACTTCAGCAAGCGAGAGTCCAAAAGTGGCAGGCTCAAACCCAGAACCTCAATCAATGGCTACAGTCCCATCCCCATTGATGTTAAAATCTGATGTTGTTTTGTCTTATTTTGTATCCTATGCCTGTTACGGACTTTGCATCCTGTTCTCTCTGCAGGTTCTTGACTCAGTTCAAGGGTCAATGCCAACCCTACCCACCCCTTGGCCCATAGTTACGTACAATATACTGATATCTGTTGGGACGTGGATTTATCCGAGTTCTGCAAGGAGGCATGGTCCACCGTGCAAGTGACCTCAATGCCGTCGTCCTCTTTTCCGACAGCAAATTCGACGCGACTGGTGACGGTGAACGTTTTCCCATTGGAGTCTTCTTCCACCTCGGAAGGTTCGCCTATCAGGAGAAGGAAGGAAGAGCAATAGAACAAGAAATGAGTGACTATAGGGATGGGATTGGAGACTATAGAGCGGCTTGGATTGGAGGATCATCGTGATGCATCCATAAAGGCTCAAGGCTGTTCAGCAGTGGAACTCTCTGCCCCGGAGTGTGGTGGAGGCTCCTTCTTTGGAAGCCTTCTTTGGAAGCACTCATCTTGTTGTGCTTCAAATAATAATAATAATAATAATAATAATAATAATAATAATAATATATTACATAATAATACGCAGTGGGTTAAACCACTGAGCTGCTGGGCAATGTTGATCGAAAAGTCGCAGGTTCGAATCTGGGGAGTGGGGTGAGCTCCCGCTGTTAGCCCCAGCTTCTGCCAACCTAGTAGAGTGATCTTGTCTGCTGTGGACTCATCTTGTTGTGCTTGGAACTGTAGAAGAGAGTCTACTGAACACAAAATATGTACTATATATATATACGCAAAATATTTTCGATGAAATTTGTATGATTACCACCAAAATGGAACTGTAGAGGAGAATCTGCTGAACAAGCCAGTACCTGCAACATACCAGCACTGCTATCTGTTGAGGAGGCATTACTTTTCATTCAGTCCTCATATATGTATGTGTATATATATATATATTGTATATAAAATTGACCATATTGTGTAGATGAAACAAAGTTTGTGCCACCTACTTGGGAGTGCTCTGCCACCCTTATGCCACCGGAGCTCAGCCGCTGGCTTGCTGCCCGAAGAGATGCATGTCATCTGGGCCAGATCGCCTTCTCGAAGAGGAGATGAGTAGCCAAAGATCTGGGGCTTCTGTGGGATCCCTGCGGGAAGCAAGAAACACCTTGAGACAGAGAACTAGCCATTGGCTTGAAGGATCCATAGCTGTACTTGAAACAGCGGAGGGAGAGAACAGCCTTTCTCATTTTTGCAGCAGCACTTCAGAGTCCCACTGGATTTCCCCAAGGTTTTGAAGCTGGCTCAGAGATGCAATGGAAAAAAAATTGGGATCAGGCAAGGACAAATGCTCAAAAACATGTCATGTATTGCTTACTGACAAATTCAGCTTTCGGATTCATTTCTTGCCTTTAGAGCTGAGAACTCCAAAGTGGTTTGATGTGGGGGAACATTTGGATTTTCTGATTTTTTTTGGTTGACATCAGCTCCTTTGAACAAGGCCAATTCCAAGGGGTTCTGCAAAAATGATTCCATTTGGGCTCCTCAAAAGCCTCTCATCTCTTCGCTTTGCCATTCCCTCCCACCCTCAATCATTCCCACAGTCACAAACAGGGATTTCTGGCTGTGTGTCTCTGTGTACGTTTAAGTCACAAGTCAATTTATGGTGACCCCATTAATTTCATGGATAATTGAGGAAGCCTACACCCCGCCACCGCCTTCATAATGTATTGGGGACCCTCAAAACCCAAGATTTATTTATTTATTTACTTAGCCTATTTGTATAACAACAACAACAACAATAATAATAATAATAATAATAATAATACATTATAATTATAAATTTTATATTATATGTAATATTACTAATAACATTACAATATAATGGTAAATAGTATTGTCGAAGGCTTCAATGGCCGGAATCACTGGGTTGTTGTAAGTTTTTTCGGGCTATATGGCCATGTTCTAAAAGCATTTTCTCCTGACGTTTCGCCTGCATCTATCTCAAGCATCCTCAGAGGTAGTGCTCACTACCTCTGAGGATGCTTGCCATAGATGCAGGCGAAATGTCAGGAGAAAATGCCTCCAGAACATGGCCATATAGCCCAGAAAAACCTACAACAACCCATGATTTTGGGCACCACAGTTAAAGAGAGATATTGAAAAGCTGGAATGTGTCCAGAGGAGGCGACTAAAATGATCAAGGGTCTGGAGAACAAACCCTATGAGGAGCGGCTTAAGGAGCTGGGCATGTTTAGCCTGAAGAAGAGAAGGCTGAGAGGAGACATGATAGCCATGTATAAATATGTGAGAGGAAGCCACAGGGAGGAGGGAGCAAGCTTGTTTTCTGCTTCCCTGGAGACTAGGACGCGAAACAATGGCTTCAAACTACAAGAAAGGAAACATGAGGAAGAACTTCCTGACTGTGAGAGCCGTTCAGCAGTGGAACTCTCTGCCCCGGAGTGTGGTGGATGCTCCTTCTTTGGAAGCTTTTAAACAGAGGCTGGATGGCCATCTGTCAGGGGTGATTTGAATGCAATATTCCTGCTTCTAGGCAGGAGGTTGGACTGGGTGGCCCATGAGGTTGTGACCTATAAAGCCCTAAACGACTCCGGCCCAGTTTACCTGTCCGAACGGATTCTCCCCTATGAACCATCAAGGCTATTAAGATCCCGGGGGGGGGGGGCTGCTCTCGGTCCCACCACCCTCGCAATCACGGTTGGTGGGGACGAGGGACAGGGCCTTCTCGGTGGTGGCTCCCCGGCTTTGGAACTCCCTCCCACTAGAGATTAGATCTGCTCCCTCCCTCCTGACTTTCAGGAAACTACTAAAGACCTGGCTCTGGAATGTGGCATTCGAGGACTGAATCTATAACCTCCGTCCACAAGGAAGGAGGATGATGAACTGTGACTATGACTATGACTATGACTATGACTGAATTGACGACTTGGCTTAGGTAATTGTGATGGTGATGTTTTTATTGTACTTTATTGTACTATTTTAATCTGTAATGACGTTGCACTTTGTTGTACTTATATATTACTGTATTTGCATATATGTTCGCAACAGGCATTCATTCAATGGCAACAATTTTACAAGGCCAACAGTTTGTTCATCGCAAGCACAACAACCCAAGAAATGTATTGTCGGGTTCTTTACAACAACCCAACCCAAGAAATGACTATATGCAGGGGCGGCTCAAGGTGGTACGCAAATAACGCTTTTGCGTAGAGCGCGCATCTCAGTGGGGCGGCGTGCGTCCCTCTCCCGGCGTTAGGAAGTGCGCACCCTGCATTGCCCCTCCTTCCCCGCGCACTTCCTAATGCCGGGAGAAGGACGTGCACTGGCGTTGCCGGGCGCTCTGGAAAAGAGGCCTCATTAAGGGGGCATGCCTTCCTCACCAGGCTGTGCTCCCAAGCCTGGTGCCCAGCCTGGCGAGGAAGGCACACTGAGCAGCGGAGGGGTGAGGGGGAAGCCGCTGAAGCCTTCTTTGGCAGGGCCCTCCTTCTTGCCTCTCCGTTGCTCCATGCCTTCTTCACCAGGCTGGGCCCCCAAGCCTGGCGCCCAGCCTGGCAAGGAAGGCACAGAGCAGCGGAGGGAGCAAGAGCTGCCAAAGCCTTCTTCGGCAGCGCCCACCTCCTTGCCTCTCCATTGCTCCATGCCTCAAAGTTTCCCTTCCTCGCCAGGCTGGGCTCCCAAGCCTGCACCCAGCCTGGCGAGGAAGGAGCGCGGAGCAGTGGAGGGGCAAGGGGGAAGCTGCCGAAGCCTTCTTTGGCAGCGCCCACCTACTTGCCTCTCAGTTGCTCCATGCCTCAAAGTTTCCCTTCCTCGCCAGGCTGGGCTTCCCAAGCCTGGCACCCAGCCTGGCGAGCAAGGTGCGTGGAGCAGCGGAGGGGGAATCTGCCACCGCCGAGGCCCTCTTCGTGCCTCAAAGGAGAGTGTGTGTGTGTGTGTGTGTAGTTACTGGGATGTATAAAGGTAAAGGTAGTCCCCTGACATTAAGTCCAGTCATGTCTGACTCTGGGGTGTGGTGTTCATCTCCATTTCTAAGCCGAAGAGCCAGCGTTGTCCATAGACACCTCCAAGGTCATGTGGCCAGCATGACCGCATGGAGCGCCATTACCTTCCCGCCGGAGCGGTACCTATTGATCTACTCACATTTGCATGTTTTCGAACTGCTAGGTTGGCAGAAGCTAGGGCTGACAGCGGAAGCTCACCCCGCTCCCCGGAATCGAACCTGCGACCTTTTGGTCAACAAGCTCAGCAGCTCAGTGCTTTAACCCACTGCGCCACCGGGGGGCCCATATATATATATATATATATATATATATATATATATATATAAAGTTTTTCAATTGATTGGGGGGGGGGGTGCCAAAATTCTGTTTGCTTACCCCTGAAAATTACCTCGGGCCGGCCCTGACTATGTGCTTGCATATCATCAGATGCTCGATACAAAAATCAAATAGACAATCAAGAACAAAAGATGGAGAAGCTCCGTTCTCCCTGCAAAAACAAGACCAGGAACAGATTGGGGCATCGACCACAAGTATCAAAAATTAAAAGTAAAGAAGAATACTAAACCGACTATCATGTCAAAATACAATCTGAAGAATATCCCCATAGCATTTAAAGACAATGTGAAAATTATATTTGCATGATCAAGCCGGATACACCAGAAACCAGATGAATGACAGACTGAAACCGGGGATATTGTCACCATGCAACCCAATTTCTGTGTCCTTGTCTCACCTAGCACAGTGACAATGGCCTTAGCAGTCCTGACGGGCATGGTGAATATGGAGCAGGTGTATTCTCCTTCGTCGGCCAGAGTTGCATTGTCGATACTGATGGTCAGCTCGTTGGGTGTTGACCTCTCCAATTGGATTCGAAGATCTCGCAATGCTAGGGAATCAGAGAAAGAAGTACAGTTCAATGAAGGGTGGTTTCCATCAACTTCATGTTATACGTTTTCAGTATAAAGCTTAAAGAGGATAAGAAGAATTCTGCCTTATTTGGAAGTTCAACATAAATCAGATTTCTCTAGCTGCCATTGTTTTTCGTATCAGGAGCAACTTGAGAAACTACAAGTCACTTCTGGTGTGAGAGAATGGGTCGTCTGCAAAGACGTTGCCCAGGGAACGCCAGGATCCTTGTGGGAGACTTCTCCCACATGATCCGCATGGGGAGCTGGAGCTGACAGAGGGAGCTCAACCCGCCTGCAGAACTGGAAAAAATGATATCTACTGTCTAGGGAACTTTCTACTATTCAATCATGAAAACTATTATAATAAGAGTAACAAAACCATGCACTGAAAGAAGCATCATGGGATATGATGATTTGGAAGGAGCCTCTTCTGTATCGACAATTTCAGTCAAATGTTTGATGTCATCCATTCCCTGTTGACTTCCAGGTTGGACTACCAGAAAGCCATCTATGCAGCATTGACTGGAGAGTTTTGAAATATGGACTTTTACAAAATACAGAGTAAACTACAGGCCAGTCAAAGATGTGTTGGTCAAAGACGTGCTGGTCACGTGATCAGTCTACAGTAATCACTTAAATATAGGAATGTGTATGTATAAATTTGCATATGCAAATTTTAGGCAAAGTAAACATTAATTTTTGGCATTCCACTTGCTCTTTTTTGATTACCATATATACTCGAGTATAATTTGAGTTTTTCAGCACTTTTTTAGGCTGAAAAAGTCCCCCTTGGCTTATAATGAGGTCGGCTGATACTCGGGTATATACGGTAATTTTATTTGCCATCTATTTTTATTTTTATTTTTGAAATTTACTCATAGCTGATGTATTTTCCCATCCTTGGCTTATACTTGAGCATATAAACCGACCCATCCTGGCTTATACTTGAGCATATAAACCGACCCAAATATAAGCTGAGGCATAAAAACTTGGAAAACGTATTGACGTTTTCCAAGTTTTTATGCCTCAGCTTATTTTTGGGTCGGTTTATACTCGAGTATATATGGTATCTATAGGTGGCCACTCTGGGGATACTTCGCCTTGTACCAATGGTAAAGTATATTTTTGCCTTGGTGAATTGGAGTGAATATGATGCCTTGCTAAAAAGACAAATCAAATCAAAAGTCTGAACTCATAACAAACAAGACATATGCTTTCCCAAATGATCTATAATTGGAAATGTGACATCTGTGCATGCGTAAAGATAGTGCAGTCAGGGTAGATCATTGGATCTCAGACCAATGAGGGACCAAATTCAAGACTGGTCCCTGGTCGAAGTAGTCCCTGGTCAAAGTGGTCCCTGGTCAAAGTGGTCTATGATCAAGTGGTCTTTCATCAATGTAGTCCCTGGTGAAAGTGGTCTCTAGTCAAGTGGTCCTGATCAAGTGGTCTTTCATCAATTTAGTCCCTGGTCAAAGTGGTCCCTGATCAAGTGGTCTTTCATCAATATAGTCCCTGGTCAAAGTGATATCCAGTCAAGTGGTCCCTTATCAAGTGGTCTTTCATCAATGTAGTCCCTGGTCAAAGTGGTCCCTAGTCAAGTGGTCTCTGATCAAGTGGTCTTTTATCAATGTAGTCCCTAGTCAAAGTGGTCCCTAATCAAGTGGTCCCTGATCAAGTGGTCTTTCATCAATGTAGTCCCTGGTCAAAGTGGTCCCTAGTCAAGTGGTCCCTGATCAAGTGGTCTTTCATCAATGTAGTCCCTGGTCAAGTGATCTTTCATCAATGTAGGTTCTGGTCAAAGTGATCCCTAGTCAAGTGGTCCCTGATCAAGTGGTCTTACATCAATGTAGTCCCTGGTCAAAGTGGTCCCTAATCAAGTGGTCTTTCATCAATGTAGTCCCTGGTCAAAGTGGTCCCTAATCAGGTGGTCTTTCATCAATGTAGTCCCTGGTCAAAGTAATATCTAGTCAAGTGGTCCCTGATCAAGTGGTCTTTCATCAATGTAGTCCCTGGTCAAGTGGTCCCTGGTCAAAGTGGTCTCTGATCAAGTGGTCTTTCATCAATGTAGTCCCTGGTCAAAGTGGTCCCTGGTCAAAGTGGTCTTTGACCTAGTGGTCTTTCATCAATGTAGTCCATGGTCAAAGTGATATCTAGTCAAGTGGTCCCTGATCAAGTGGTCTTTCATCAATGTAGTCCCTGGTCAAAGTGGTCCCTAGTCAAGTGGTTCCTGATCAAGTGGTCTTTCATCAATGTAGTCCCTGGTCAAGTGATCTTTCATCAATGTAGTCTCTGGTCAAAGTGGTCCCTAGTCAAGTGGTCCCTTTTTTGACCAGGAACCACTTGACCAGGGACTACTTCGATCAGGGACCAACATTAGTACCAAAAAGGATACAAATTAGTATCAACTTGAGATTCGTTTTGGTTATTTAGGGTGCTGATTCAGAAAATTGCATTGGATAGACCACATCAGATCTAGTTTCTGATACAGAACATATGCCATCCAGTAGTCGCCATCTGCTCAACCAGAGAAAACCATATTTAATAATCTAGAGCTGATGTGGCAGTCGTAATTTTTCATGGGTAGTCAGCCTTTCCTCTTCCGACATCCCTGTTGCCTCGGCACTATAAAAGGGTTTTGCAAGACCAGTCACTCTTGTTGCCACGTGGTTTCGATGCAACGGTGTAATAATGGTAAGGCCGCAGATCATATTTTCGTTCATCCGGACCACTGGTGGTCCACGGACCAGAGATCAGGAACCACTGATTCAGCTGTATCTCAATACTCTTACCTCTTTTTTCCCCAAAATAGAGTGTTTGCTGGGCAGGGTTGGACCACTGGAGTGAGGAATCATCGGGGTCTTCCACCTCACAGCGGAGGAACACCTTGGAGCCTGCTACTACGATTTCATCTGACGTCGTGGGTTGACTCGCTGCAAGGAGTCAAAAGAGAAATTGGTGCTATCAGAACTCAAGGTTAGATCTCCATCTGGAAATGTACTTTTTCAAAACTAATCACAGTCAGCTGTCTACATTTGCTGTAGTTAGGGGCACAGGACCTCTCTATGAGTCTGTAGGTCCTCCAATATGACTTAATGGTCAACTTCTGCCATGGATCCACATTGGAGGACCTAGCGACCCTTAGAGAGAACATTTTACCCGACCCCAAGAACGATAAATCCTGCAAAAGTCAAATTCACAAATGTGGAAGACCATCTATTATAGCAGGCTTGTTGTTGTTGTTGTTGTGTGCTTTCAAGTCATTTCAGGCTTAGGTTGACGCTGAGCGAGGGCCAGGTAAATGACCTTGGAGGGCCGTATCCGGCCCGCGGGCCTTAGTTTGAGGACCCTGGCATTATAATGATGCTTTAAAACTTTTTTAATCTTAGTGTTCCAAACTAACCAAATAATTGCTTTTGTAGATATCTTAAAAAAAAACAACAGAAAGTGCCAATCCTTTGGTAACAAATACCTTACTATTCTGAAACACATCAACCACATGTTGCCCTCTGGCATTGAAACACCTTTTCACCCAGTACCACACCAGAGAGTAGCACATAATACTATCTATCTATCTATCTATCTATCTATCTATCTATCTATCTATCTATATATATTAGGCTTGGGCGGTTTCGTTCGTTAATTTCGTAATTCGTTATTAATTCGTATTTAAATTAGCTTACGATCCGATATTGAGCCATTTTGGAATAGTGTGAGGAGTAATTAAGAATCGAAACAATTTTTCAAATTTTCGTAATTATTTCGTAATTATTTTCGTAATATAATATAATAATATATAATATATAATACAATATATTATAATAATATAATATAATAATATATAATATAATATTATATATAATAATATAATATAATAATATATAATATAATAATATATAATATAATATATATAATATAATATAATATATTATAATAAAATATACAATAATATAATATAATAATATAATAATAATATAATATAATATAATATAATATAATATAATATAATATAATATAATATAATATAATATAATATAATATAATATAATATAATATAATATAGTTGTTCTTTGTTTTATCACACCAACAGTCAACAACAGAGGGAGAGGGAAGCTTCAGAAGTTCCCCCTGTCCCATTTGGAGGTTTTTTTAGCATATTGCGCAATCGCGTCCACCATTAACGAATCAATTCGAAATTTACGAAATTTCGTAAATTTCGAAATATTTTAAAGAAAAAATTCGGAATTCTTTAAAAAAACGAAATGCAATGGACCCCCTAAAAACGAAACGAGTTTAGAAACAATTTTTTCCGTTGTTACCCAAGCCTAATATATATATATATATATATATATATAATGCTCTGTGCATAATGAGTGCCTTAAAAACAAAAGAACCAATGAACGAAATCACACCAAATTTGGCAACAAAGCGTCTCACAACACAAGGAGTGACCATCACTCAAAAAATTATCATTTGGGAGTTGTAGTTGCTGGGATTTATAGTTCACCTACAATCAAAGAGCATTCTGAACCTCATTGACGATGGAATTGAACTAAACTTGGCACACAGGCCTCCCGTGACCAACAGAAAACACTGGAAGGGTTTGGTGGGCATTGACCTTGAGTTTGGGAGTTGTAGTTCATCTACATCCAGAGAGCCCTGAGGACTCAAACAATGATGGATCTGGACCAAACTTGGCATGAATATTCCATATGCCCAAATATGAACACAGATGGAGTTTGGGGGAAATAGACCTTGACATTTGGGAGTTGTAATTACTGGGATTTATAGTTCACCTACAATCAAGGAACATTCTAAACCCCACCAACAACAGAATTGGGGCAAACTTCCCACACAGAACCCCCATGATGATCAGAAAATGCTGTGTTTTCTGGTGGTCTTTGGTGACTCTTCTGACACCCCCTCGCAACCCCCCCAGGGATCCCCACCCCCACCCCCAGGTTGAGAAATGCTGCCTTAAGGCCATCCAGTCAAACTCCCTTCATCCGGGCAAGAAAACATAAAGCCCTCCTGACAAAGACCCATCCAGCTATAGATATAGATAAATATATATGATTCACACACAGACACACACACACACACGTTTATGACAGATATAGTATCATAGATTGAAAGGGACCCCTAAAGAAGGACAAGTATATGTTGCATGTTCCAGAGTAGGCAAACCAGACAATCTTTACATCAGTATTGACAAAGAAACAACGAAAAATACTGTTTACCCACGAGGATAGAGAAATTACATATATTAGAAACTAACACTTTCTCATTACATTATTTTCCAGATCACCAGACTGGGCCACAGCAACGCGTGGCAGGGGACCGCTAGTAAAATATAAAATAGCAGTAATCCAAAACTGGCAAAGCACATAAAGTCAAGAGAACTACAGCAGTTATTCAAACATGAATCCACATACCAGGAAACAGGAGCTTCTTCCAAGGCAAACGCTTACAGGAACAAAGACATGAGCCAGAACAGGAAACCTGAATCATGAACTTGAGAGCAGTATCAGGAAAATAATCCTTTAGCAACGTTGTCTCCTCTGAAAGACTTGAAGCCAGACTACTTAATTTAAACCTGTTCAGCACCCATGACATCATGCCGAATACACCTGGACTTCAAGGTCTTCTCACAGATTCTGTGAGAATATCTAGTTTGTCTGTTGTTTTACTCCCTCTGTTCTCAGGCCTAATCTAGTTTCCTGGAAAAACTCCCCATCAGCGCAAGGACTTTCATTTTCCCCTGTTGCCTGGGAACCAAAACATTGGCCTCATCTGCCTGCAATTTATTCTGATCTGAGGCCTGCTATTCTCTCCGATCACACACACAGAGGCGGACCTATGTAATTTTCAACAGTAAGCAAACAGTATTTTGGCGCCCCCTCCCCCCAACCAATCATTGATATATATTTTCTGTTCATTGTGGGAGTTCTGTGTGCCATATTTGGTTCAATTCCATCATTGGTGGAGTTCAGAATGCTCTTTGATTGTAGGTGAACTATACATCCCAGTAACTACAGTTGCCGCACTTGCTCCTTTGCCTGGCCCGCTTTGGGTCCGGAGGCGTGCCTGAAGACCAAAAGTCACCTCTTCTCCTGACTTTCTCCTCAGCCATTGGGACAGAGAGAGAGAGAGAGAGACAGAGGTGGAGATGCCCACCTTTCCTGAAGGTAGGCGCAAAAACAAAGGAGGGAGCGGAGGTGGGAGATACCTCCAGCCGGAGGGGCTCTCTCTCTCTCTCTCTCTCTCTCTCTTGGTCCCAATGGCTAAAGAGAAAGTCAGAAGAGGCGACTTTTGGTGCGCATGCTGGGGTCTTCAAACACGCCTCCGGACCCGAAGCGGGCCAGGCGTGGTGGCTCCGCCCCTTGGCCCACCCGTGGATTGGGGAGAGGAGAGGAGGCGGGTGGAGCGCCGGGGGATCAGGAAAGGGAGCCAGTCATGGGGAAGGGATCGAACGCGGAGAACGATTGAGTGCCGGCTCTGCTCGCGCACCCGGTGGCCGGGTGGAGCAGTAACGAGAGGGGCTAGGCGAGGCTCAAGGGCCCGACCCCTTTGGGAAGAGGATCGCCCGGCAGCGAGGCAAGAAAGCCGAGGCTCCCCCCGGACTGCTAGGGCTGTTGTGAGCTGAGCGGGCGCTCCTCAAGTGGCGGTCGAGGGGCATTTACAGAGGCGCCTCTGCGCCCCTGGCAAAAAAAAGTGTTCTGCGACCGCTTACTTCACGTAATGGACGAGCCGCCCCTGCACACACAGATTGCTCATTTTGAAACCCAACTTCTCCCTCATCTTCTGACAAATCCTTGGACTCTTGCTGTGCTAGAACACTATATTAACTACATTACAACAATCAAAAACCTAAGTTACTGCAAAAAGTTATTTAACGATAAGTCTGTTATGATACATAACGTGTCATTTCCAAGATCTAGATCATTTCTAGCACATCACAAATTTCATGCAATGCATCTGGGCACATCTCACTCCATAGGGACAGTGGAGCTCACATGATGGAATGACTCATCTATATAACGAAATGTCTTGCATATAAAAAAGTACAGCAGGTAAATGGTCATCCTCCATGTTAGGTTTCTATCTCAAAAGAACACATATTTTAATGGAGGAAGGGTTTTTCCCCCCCAAACTTAATCACTTTAGTGATATCGACACTAAGAACAGCCTGTTCCGTTCTATATTTAATGCTTCAGAATAGCAAAACTCAAAGAACTAGCAGAAGATAACTGATCAGAAAGAGTGGAAAGGGAGGTCAGTTTTCATGTTGCAAATTCAAGATGGGAGCATTTTGCAGGATTGGTGGGCGGATATTTGGCTAGGTTCTGGGCCGACGTATTCAGTCCGCTTTCTTCCCTTCCTTGCCTCCAGCAACCCAAGTATGGAAGAGCAAAGTGGCACTCAAAAAGAGTACAGATACTCAAGAATTCAACTGAACGTTGCATGCTCTGCGGCCATCAGCAGCAGCAACATATTGAAAATGTGCTTTCAGCACGGATCCCCTGCAGTGCTCTGAACCAAAGAACCTCTCCCTTTCCCACTCTGTTGACTTTGTTGTCTCTCTGCTCCGTGGGTGTCTCTACCAAGCACATTCTCTTCTGCCTTGTTAGACCAGAGGATGGGATGGGGGGGGGGGGTTCATGTGCCCAAGTTTCTCTCCTCCTTCACTTGCCTGGTTGACCTAAGTGAAAAGTGGCTGGAGAAGGGAAGGAGGACCTTGATATCATTAGTACGGTGCATTAGCTGGTCAAAACTGGGCCAGAGTGAAGAGAGAGGGGGCCAGGGGACCGTTCCATCTTCTCTCCTGCATATGTCATCAGTTGGGGAGCCCTCCCCTCAGCACCAACTGCTGCTCTGGGCCAGAGTGAAGAGAGAGGGGGCCAGGGGACAGTTCCATCTTGTCTCTTGCATA